GCCGGCCCCCCCCCCCCCAAGCCCCGGGTGGGACGGCCCTGGCCCTGCCTTCGCCTGCAGCCCCTTGAAGCAGTAGGAAATGCGGTGGTTCCTCACACAGGGATTGCTGTGGTCCTCTGGGGGCATCAGGCCCTTGCCGGGAGAGGCAGGTGGCTGGAGCACAGCATCTGCAGTCCTGGTCGGTACTGGAGGTCTGTACTGGAAAGCTGGAGCACCGCGAGGCAGGATCCCACAGTTCCCCAGTCCCTGCGCTCCAGCGCCCCAGTAGACTGATCTTGTCACGTCCCAGACTCCAAGCCAAAGCCAGCAGATGTCATTGCATGTGTTGCGTGGGCAAACAGTAGGTTGCCACCGCAATATCTGCACTTTGCTTTCCTATGTTGAAAGAAAACTTTGCATTAATGCACATTTGCTTTTCTCAGGACAAGATGCTGAAGGGAACAGTGTATCGTATCCGAGGGTCCGTTCCTGCCAGTAACTACATTCAGCTGCCTAAGACCAGCACGCAGTCGTTGGGGCTCACTGGTCGTTACTTTTATCTGCTTCTCAGGCCCATGCCCAACAAGTATTTTGTTGTGCACCTGGATGTCACCACAGAGGTGTGTGAGTGAGTGTGTGTGTGTGCATCCATGTCATGGTCTTCAGTATAACTGATGCTCTCACATGAGTAGAGGAGCAAGGGATGCCTGGAATATGGTAGTTTTTCGTAAGAGCTTGAACACAGAACAGAGCTGCACAGCATGGACTGTCTTATGGCAAGGTAATCTTCTGCTATAGGTCTCTCAGGCAGAAGTCCCAAAGACCAGGGGTTGGCAGCCTACAGCCCATGTGCCAGATCTCGCCTATGAAGAGATTGGAGCCTGAGGTGGCAGAGGGACTTCTGCCCAGCACTGTGCATTCTTCTGCCTGGGGTTCTGATCCCCCTCCACAGCATCCAGCAAGTGACTGCCCCTACCTTTCTTACTCTGGGCCAACAGCTGTTCTTTCACCCCAACTACCGCAGCTTCTGTGTACTTTCACTGCTGAATTTGTTACTTGTCATTGTTGTTGGCTACAGAAATCAGTGGTATTTGGTGGTGTACCAAGGGAGGTGCTACAGAGTAGATTGATGGCTTACAGCAGCAGCTGGGTCACAAGTGGCCGCCAGTCGCTTTTAACAGTTGCCAACGCTAGCTGTAAATGGCTGTAGTGTTTTCAGAATGGAACTGAAAAGGAGGGATGACTTCTTGAACATCTTTGTGTGCCTTACTTCTAGGTTCAGAGACCTCCCGGCAGTCCTTTAGCTCTTAATTTACTTAATATGGAAGCTTGTTTTATTGTCAGTAGCGACTGCCCTGGACTTCGTTTGATTCATGTTCTAATATGAAATCTGTGGACTCAAGATAAAGTCTCATAATCCATTTCTATGACCTCAGTATATGTTCTTTCTGGCCACTGGTCACATTGTATGGGACAGCCCACAAGATAAGCTGGTTGTAGTCTCTTGGGGCAAAGTGGGTCAATGTAAATAGTCATGTGGACCAAGTTACCAGACTCTCTTATCTGTAGCATTTCCCTGTATTCCTTGCTTGGTGAATAACACAGTACTCTGTTCTCAGGATAGCCAGGTCGTCCGCATCTCCTTCTCCAACCTTTTTAAGGAGTTCAAATCGACAGCTACATGGCTTCAGTTTCCGTTCATCTGTGGAGCAGCCAAAGGATCAGTGTATGAGAGTACTGGCAAGACTTCCAAGCGAGGTAAAAGAATGTGTCTGGTGGTATGAGTTAGGCTGATTCCTCAGTGAAGGGATAACAGTGAACACCTTTACAAAGACAAAATAACAATCCTGTCCTACTATTGCTATAATCATTTATGACCTGAGCTTTCTAGGAGTGGACTTATTCTATTAATTTTTTGTGGTGTTTCATTTAAGTACAAGTTCAAGCATATTGAGAAAGTTGGTGTTTAAATGGTTTTAACACTAAGTTTTAAAAGTGCCGTGGTGCCCCTGCTTTACCTGGGGCAGGTTAGGGTATTATGTCTTGTGTTGTGTCAGGGTTGATGGTAGTTTTACTAAGAGATTAGATTATGAATTTTTATAGGATGGTTTGGATAGGGATGGTCCTGCCTCAGTCTGGGGGTTGGACTAGATGACCTATTGACTAGATGACCCTACTTTTTAGAGGTGCACCAATATATTGGTGCCATATCAGGTTGGCACCAATAAAAGGAAAATGAACATTATTGGCTATTGGTTTTTTTTGGCTGGTTTAGCCAGTAATGTACCGATAAATACAATATGCCTTCTGGCCAGGGCCCCTGGATGCATGAATGTGCATAGCCACACATGGCCAGGCATGCAGCCTGGCAACATGCAGAGCAGTGCCCTGCAAGTAAGTCTGTGGAGGGGAAAGGGCATGGGGTGAGGACAGATCAAGACCCGACCCGACCCCCCCCCCCCCCCCCCCCCCCTCCCCAATGGTGAGGGGGGGAGTAGGGGTAGGGTTGGGGGACACTGCCCAGCCAGGGCAGTTAATGGGACCTTGGGGCCAGGGCAGGGAGTGGGATGGAGCCACAGGCAGCTTGTCTGGGAGACATGGGTGGAGAGGGGGGGGTGGCTTCCTGCCATTGTGCACATCCCCCAGGGGAGGCATGGGGGGCATGTGTCGCCCCCCAGATTTGTGTGTGGGGTGGAAGCGGGCTGTTCGCTGTGGGCTTGGGGCTGTCTGCCCTGCTACCTTTTGCCCCAGGAGCCACGCACTGGTTGCGTGCCTCCTGTCCACCCAGCGGCAGGGGACACAGTGAGTTGTGCCTCTTGCTGCAGGGCGGGCTGGGGATGCAGCACACTGCTCCTGGGGCAAAAGCAGCAGGGCGGAGAGCCTCGAGTCTACAGTAAGCAGCCCACATCTGCCCTCACCCTGCTAGGCTCTGCTCTTAAAAGTGTCTCCATGCTTAATAATGGTGGCAGCAGCGCTTGAACTAAAGCTCATTTGATAAGCTTTAGTTCAAGCACTGCTGCCGCCATTTTTAAGCACCAGGACGCTGATCCCTTGGATGAACCGCCTGTGGCTCCGTCCTGCTTCCCACCCTGGCATACCATTCACTGCCTTGACTGGGCAGCACCCCCATCCCCAGTTCTAGTCCCTGCCCCTGCCCCACTCTCTCTCTCACTGTGGTAGCCTCAATCTACCTCCCACTCCCCTTCCTCTCCACAGACTTTACTGCAGGGCACTGCTCTGCACGCTGCTGAGCTGTGCTCCTATAAATCGGTTATTGGATCAGTACCGGCTGATATGCCTGGTTAATAATCAGCTATTGGTATCAGCCAAGAAAATCTCTATCAGTGCACCCCTATTACTTTTCTATGATTCTATGAATCTTTTATTTTCCTTTTACGCATTATAAAATTAACCTGTGGAACTCTCTGGCTCAGGATTTTGAGTCAAGAAAGGATTAAGTGTATTATATGAATAATAATAACATCAGCAGTTAGGCTAGGATAGGTAGCTATCTTAGATAGCTAGGTTATAATTTACTAGACGTTCCTACATCACGCTTCTAGCCAGCTGTTGGCTGGCAGCAGGAAGCCATTTCTTTGTTATATAGTCTGGTATAATTTGATGATGAGTCTGACCTATTTTTGAAGTTAGCAAAATATGAAGATGACAGAACAATGAGCAATGGTCTCAAGTTGCAGCAAGGGAGGTTTAGGTTAGATAGTAGGAAGAATTTTCTTACTAGGAGGGTAGTAAAATGCTGGAACAGGTTACCCAGAGAGGTGGTGGAATCTCCATTCTTAGAGGTTTTCAAGACCCGGCTAGACAAAGCTTTGGCTGGAATGATCTAGTTGGGGATGGTCCTGCCTTGAGTAGGGAGTTGGACTAGATGACTTCCTGAGTTCCTTTCCAACCCTAATTTTCTATGATTCTAAAAATATTAATTGGATTTGGGCATCCAGATTTTCAGGAGTGAAGGCCACAAAGCCAGGCATAGAAATACATATTCAGGTAGTTGGCTGCCTGCCGGCAGTTGCCACTTTTCTTCTGCAAATCTTTATCTGTGCTTTAGTGATCATTAGAAACCTAAAAGTGGGTATATGCATGTACTAAGCCATCCTCTCACACACATCCACTCTGTGCCTCTAGAGAAAGGCACAATCTAGCTTATGCCTTTTTTAACATAGTTTATCAGTGTTCAGTGATAGCTTTGATGCAACCTATTTCTGATCTGTAGATCTGGTAGGGGTGGCCCCGGCAAACGTTCGCTGGACTTTTCTGATGCTTGACCTTCACTACATCCTCTCCATGTACTTGAATCGATGCTACAGCCATCTGAAGAGTGTCAAACTCTGCTCCAACCTACTGGTGAAGAACCTCTATACCAGTGACCTGCTCTTTGACCCAGGTAACCAACTCACGTTTTGTATAACTAAAGCAAACCTGCCTGCCAAGATGTCGGAATCTGGGCCTAACCCATTCCCATCAATGCGTTTCTAAACCAGGTTCCCCCAAAACTGTTTAGCCATATCTGTAGTGATTACACTTTAAGTTCTCAGTCAATAGGAAAATGAGACAACATCAAGAAATCAAAGCATTCTTATTATCTAGAACAACTAATGACAGTGCTTTGTCCTTCTTTGGTGCCTTCCTTCTGGGAGAGACGAGAGCTGCTCATGCATTAATGAATTACATTGCCCCACTTTTCTGTGAGGGGAAGTATTACTTCCCATTCTGCAGCTGCCCAAACCAAGGCCTATATACCAAATCAGTGACAGAAGAGGAAGAGGGAATTCCAGCTCTTGGCTCCCAGGCTAGTGCTCTAACCACCAGCCAGTCCTTCCAGAAAGCTGTCCTTTCTTGTCACACTGAAATCCAGGATTTTTCCAACCTTCATCATCAGTGCAACAGAGAACTTTTTCTTCTAACACAGAACTTTTTTCTTCTAACACATTTTCTTTCCAGAGGGACCTTAGGATGGAGATCGGAAAGTTCTTCCTAACTAGGAGGGTGGTCAAGCATTGGAACAGGCTACCTAGAGAAGTTGTGGAATCTATCCATGGAAATTTTCAAGAGCAGGTTAAACAGATACTTTACTGGAATGGTTTAGTCAGGGATGTTCCCGCTTTGAGCAAGGGGCTGGACTAAAAGACCTCCTGAAGTCTCTTGTAGCCCTTCTGTCCTATGATACTTTGTTTGAAAGGCAAATCAGGAAGTTGAAAGGGACCACAAAGGTCATCTAGTCTAGCCCTTGCACAAATGTAGGATTTAGTATTCCTAATAATAAGCAAGCCAGTCTCTTCCTGAACAGATGAAATGAAGAAGAAGCAATGCCTAAAGTGAGAATTAAGCCCTCTGGCTTCACTGTTAGTACCATATCCACTAGACTGGCATTTCTCAACCTATGGGTCATGACCCAAAAGTTGGTTGCAAGAATGTTTCAAAGGGTCAGGAGCTGAGACAGGGCAGGGGCAGCGGGAAGGTACCAGCCCCTTCCAGCGGGAGAAGGGGGCAAGGGAGAGCTGTGTGGCCAGGCTGGTGGCACTGGGGCTGGTGTCCATGCTTGTGGGGGTAGGGTGGCCCAGAGACTGCTTGGGGGGTGGGAAGGGCCATGACCAGGCTGCCTAGTGCGGTGTGGCAGGCCTAGCCCAGGGCAGGTGGGGTGCCACAGGCCTCTTCTCCTTCTCCCTCCAGCCTGTGCTGGGGCCAGACTCATTCAGTTGCCACCCACATGAGCCAGAGCCATTGCAGCCACTGTGCACCAGCCTGAGTGGGATGGGGGCACCTGAGAGGCCCTCCGGCAGGGCTGGGGGGGAGGGGCAGGGGGCTGTGGGTCAGGAGTGAGGGACACCAGCATGGCCCAGAAGGGCAGGGGACCAGCAGGGCCAGGGGGGGGTGAGTTGGGACAGGCCATGGATCTTTGCAAATGGGTCCTGGTAGGAAAAAGGTTGAGAACCACTGCACTAGACTTTACTGTCTCCCAGAGTTTGCCATAGTGGGATTTGAATCCATGCACCCCAAGCAGGATGTATTGCTCAGGTGCACTACCAGCTGGCTGTCAAATTGTGGTGCATTAGCAGAAAGGAATTTTACAGGCAATGTGTCCTACTGGCCTATCTCCCAAATGTGCTTTTGCACAAAAAAACCTTACTTCAGTGAATTCAGTACATTGATTGAATTCAATAAATGGATGGCACAGGCATCCAATAAGCTATGAAAACAGAAAAATAGCCTAATGCCAATCACACACAGCTGCAGATAGCCTTAGCAAAGCTGATTGATACCAAGTTTCAGATCCTCTTGTAGAGCATGTCAGTTATATGCTACAAAAGATGACCTCCTGTAACAAAGCTCTGAACTACCCAGCCTTGTTGGAAGCTGCAAGTTTCAAGGATATGGTGTGTTCACTTGCTATAATCACTGTTTATTTTCTAAGTTGTAATCTTTTTTCAGACAGACTTTAGAAAGACAATTTTCTGTAAGGAATTCCATGCGACTCCCCTTGGAGACACCTTCAGATATTCTAGGAGTGTTTATCCTCTTTGATTGTCTCGTCTCTGTTTGCCTTTAGGGGTGACCTTCTCAGAGGCCCGACAAGCCAAACAGACATTCCATGGCATCTCCCCTGTACCACGAGAAATGGCCTTTCCTGTGCCAAAGGGAGAGAGCTGGCATGACCACTATGACTATATTAGGTATGTTGGCTAAGTGCTGCTTTTCAGCAGGGAAATAGCTCATGCCAAGAACTACCATTAGATCTGTAAGTGTGGTTATTATGTATGTGCAATTATATCTTGTGCATCAAAAAGCTACAGTCAGAAAAGGAGGGCTGCACAGTTAAGCAGGCAGCAGCTAGGAAATGCCAGCACTTGAATCAGTCTGCGATTATAGTGGAAACACTTTGGCCACCTTAGTTGTATCAGTCAGTTACTAATGTTCTACCTATGAGTGGGGTGCAAGGACAACACATCTTATATTTTCAGCCCTTAATTGTTGGCAGCTAATATTTTTGGCACAGGACAGGGCTGTTTAAGCTTCCAGCAGCAGAGCTGCCAGTTCCTAATCAACAGGCCCAGAGCAGGTGTGGATAACACCATGCCTCTGACACAACAGACAGGCAATAGAAATGCCAAATTTCATTCCTTGCTGGGGTTTGTCCATATTGATAACCAGGCAAAAACCTTCTTGTTGGTCTTGATGTCTCCAAAAGGCTCAAGGGAGCCTTTTGCTTTAAGAGGCTTCATCTGCATTGCGAGTGATGACCCGGATTACATCAGCTAATGCCCATTTGGAATCAAGCCAGTTGTGCCAGTTGAGCTTTTTGCTACCAGAGGAGCTTATTCCACCCCCCAAATGAATAACCTAGACAGACCAAAGTGCAATTTTGCTTGTTTGATTGGGTCTACACAAGGGGCTTTTTCCTGCCTTGTTATTTCATTACCATGACAGGAGGCCTAAGGCTCCTGTTGCTTTGAGAAGAGAAAATGTCACACTTGAGACTGAGGGCAGCTAGAGTAAAGCTAGCTGTGAGAGGGTAAGCAGCTAGGGATCGCTGCTGATAACACAGGGAGCTGCATATTATAGCGGAAGAGATGATTCCAGCAGCCAGGAGGCTGCTGCTTAGCAGAAGCTGGCTGCAGAAGAACCAGCCACTAGAAGTTAGAGCAGGTTCCCTGGGGTACAGACTGCAGGTGGTTATTGCATAGAGTGAGCACTATAATTTTAGGGAAATTTAGTGGGGGGCAGGGGTGCCAGGGGGTGTGTGCATGCACACACACGTGTGGGGGTAATGTGTAGCAGCACACAGGGCTGGAGAAGGTGTCGGGAGTGCAGTGCCTTTCTCACTGGAGCCAGGGCTGCAGTCTGGGGCCAGGCACTGGCTGGGCTGGGGCGCTATGCAGGTTTTGTCTGACTCATGGCTCCAGCCCTGTCCCAGCACCTGCAGCCTCATCTTGGCTGTGCACCCCTGGGCTGGGCACACGCAGCCAGTCTGGGCTTCACATCCGCCTCCCCATTTAGGGCAGAGTGGAAAGAGGTAGAAGCTGAACAGGCCAAGGCCCCAAAAAGGGACAGAAAAGCTTAGAGTGGCCTTAAATGGGACTGGGGCTGGGGGCCCTGCAACAATTAATGTATTACCACCTGCGAGGCATGGGCATGGCTGTAGGAGTATAGGGGAGGTTCAGAGGCTGTGAATAGTCCATAAGGCTATGGCTCAGTCCTGTTACAATTACCAATTGCACCTCTTTGCATCAAGACATGGGAAATCTGTTGGTATTGACAGGGAGTGGGGTTGATAGGACTCACATATCTGATGACAGACTGAGTCAGTCAGGTGACTCTACCTCTGTGTGCTAGCTTTTGCACTTGACAGCAAATTATTGAAGTAGAACCCTGTATCCCTCTTTCAAGATGAATTGCCTCTGATTTTCTTACTCAGGTTTCCCTCTGATGGCTCCAAGCTGCCATATGACTCAATTCAAAAGAGTTGTTCCAGGCCTGCAGCAGGTAGGAATACTGAGGTGAATGACCTGAGGCTGTGGTGTCTGTCTGAGCAGTGCATCAAACTGCCATCAGGCCTCTAGATTATCTGGCTTGTTGTCCAACCCAAAACAAAGCCTGAGGGCCCCCCCCACCACACACACACACACTTTGTTTATGCATGTTACAATTATCTACCTTATCTCCTACTCTGAATTGAACAATACTCAAACCTTAGAAGAACCACCCACTCACCCACTATTGATATGACAAGCTTACCAACTGGTACTTCTATGCTTTATGTTAGTGTTCTATTCAAAGTATGTCCATTAATCTAATCCTTTATCTTGTTAGTGATTACTTGAGCACCAGAAGGGGATCAGGTGATGGACATCCCCTTGCTGATATCCCCTTTTGCCTGCCTTCCTTTCTTGTTGGCAACAGCTACCTGGGTTTTTTTGTGTAAGTCCCAGATATTTTACGGCTCATACCCAGAGCTAGCAGGGCAACTTGATTTCTTTCAGGGGGAAATCAATGTGAATGTGCCATATAAGAGCAAATGCGGGATCTTTAAACCTTTAAACCTGTTGCTGAATTTTAGAAGGTCATTGTAGTAGATATCTTATTTGGCAAATACATTTGGTAAGCATTGCCAGAAAACTGCATTCTGGAGCCCTGTTAGAAGATAGTAGTAAAGCAAGCAGCATCACAGTGATCCTGCTGGCAATGCTGTCCTTCTATCCCTGTTCAAGGTCCTAGCATTTTAATCCAAGCCTGAGGCCATCTGGTGATTACCTTCTGCAGTGTCTTCTTGCAGCTGTTTTCCCACCAAGGGAAATTGATGGAGCTTCTATTAGAACCTATTAACATCACGTCTTAAAAGGTTCAGTGGTGTCTACTGAATGACCCAGAGCACATCCTGCTCTGAGTCAAGAAGCTGCCTCTGTAGCACTTCCAGTTCTTGTAAATTGAGGGGCAAAAGAAATGGGTTTTCCTCAGGCCAGCCACTGAGAGTCTTGTGCAATATATGTCCAAGAGTAGATGTACCTCTTCTTTTCCTCTACTGTAATATAGCCTGTTTCCAAGTTGTTCTGAGAGTGCTTATAACCCAGGTGGTCGAGTGCTAGAAGACCCAACCCGTGAGCTCCCCCGGCCAGTGACACTCACCAAAGCTGTCCGTGATAGACTGTCCCTCATTCAGCAGATAACCAGTCCCAAGGATGTGAGTATGCTCTCAGCCTGGGAGTGCAACTTCCAGTAGCTGCTCTGGGCACAGGGGTTTCCAAATACCTAGCTCCCATCTCCTATCAATTTAGGATGTTTCAGTCTTTGGAGTAGCTACTTCTTGTTCACAACATGAACTGTATGCTGTCCTGCTGCTAATGCATTCTGCAGTTCAGTGACAACAGGAGTTGGTCCGCCTCTATCTTAAGTAGTTTTCTGGCATTGATTGCCAGAGCATCCAGACACCCCACAATCTTTAGTCCTTTTATCCTGCAGTAAGGTAGTGCTGTCTCTCCCATTCAAGAGATAGAGATCTGAGGTCCAGAGAGATCATTAACTTAAATGAGGAAATCTGTGGTGGAGCAACAGACTAAACCCAGGTCTGCAGTACCCGAGGCTTGTCCCCTAACTGCTTCCTTCCTCCATTGGCAGTGACTCAGGTGATGATATTCATATTTTTTTCATGAAGAACAGTGAAGTGTCAGGGGTATGAAGTTCCTGTGGCAAGGGGGAGGTTGTAGGGAACTGTGGTGCAGGTCTGATCTCTCCTGGTTGTTTACTCTTTCTTTCTTAGATGCCTCATCGGTCACCCCTGCTTACAGAGAGCATTCCCGAGGTTCATTTAACATCCTGCAGACCTCTTGAAGCAATGAATGCTGGGGCTCCAGAGGTAAACGGGAGAAGAGGACAACAGGCTGCTGGAGACTCAACTGTGCAGTCATATGCAATGAGCGATGGTGGTATTCACGTTTATGCTCACAAAATGGGCGACATCACCATCCATACTGTTGACACTGGCTCAGAGGAGGTAAGAGGGAATGCATCTCTGGACCTCAACCACTGGACTCTCTTCATAACTTAACAGTCCCTCTCAATTTTTAACAGAGCCTCATTGACATTTCCCCATGTGTGCCCTAAGGGTGACTCTGAGAAGACAGCATTTTTCCATTACTGAAGAGGGCTTAACACTGAAGACTGGAAACTTGTTTTTTTGTCTGTCCTCAGGAGTATCCCTCATCTGATTCTCAGATGGTGTTGCTCTGACTTCAGTGCAGCAATGCTGATTTACCACAGCCCCACATCCTGCCTCCATCTATAAACGCCTGCTCAAGGAAAAATTCATGTGGGACAACTCAGTCCCTTTTCAGGTCTCTCCTGCAAGCCTGTGCACAAAGACAGCAACTTGTTGGTGTGCATATCTCACTGAGTCTGATGTGTAGGCTTGACTGGTAATTTAGAGAGCATTGGGCTAACCCTTTATATAGAAAAAGCTCTCTGGAGCCCAGCTTTCTCACTCAGACTCTTCCTGGCCATGAGAGGCAGTCATACAAAGCCCAGGAGCTCTGTTCTGACCATGGGAAGCATTCTTCTCTAGAATATCCCTAGAATGCTTGAAGCTGGTGTTCAGTAACTCAATGGAAAGATCTGTGGGAACACCTGTCCCTGACTGTGGCTGATTGAGCTGATCAATTTAATGGGGAGGGTGTGTAGTGCCCTCATGGCTGGAATAGCTTTCTGACATCATTCCTTATATCTCACTGTCATGTTCTCAAGGTAGCAACTATCTTGTATGCAGATGAGCCCACTGTTAACATCTGAAAATATTGCATTTTTTTATATGTCCAGAGCGTGTACATGAAGGTTACTGCACCTGAGGAGTTCTCCAGGAGGAGCATGACTCATTGCAGGGTAAAGAATCAGATCCTTGTTCTTCAGCTTTACAAGCTTCCCCTTGAATTTTCAGAGGTTGTAACCTTGGGGGAGGACCTGGCTGCACCTTGGAAAGAGTCATTCCATTCCTGGGAGTATTTCACTGAACACAGTCTAACTGTGGGCTCCAGTGCTTCTGTTCCTGGAGGAGGTGGAACTCCTAGAAACAGGATTTCAGTAAAATGCCTGTTCTTGCTTCCTAACGATTACAGTGTATCCTTAATGTGAGCAAGTTGGTGTGGAGAGACAACTCCTTGCATCAGGGGGAGACAAGAAACTGGTTTGGAGGCACTGAGACAACCTGTTACTGTCTTGAGGTAGAAGGAACAGATTAGATCCCTGGGATTTAAATTGCAAGTGGTATTGGTACACTTTGGAGCTTGCATGCTTTATTTGTGTCAGTAGGTTTGACAGTGCTACTTCTTTCAGAGACTCTTGCCAGATCCAATCCTGAAGCTGAGGACAATTATCGGCTTTGGAGGTTACAGCACCAAATGGGTTAGTAGTCAAGGGGTAATTCAGAATTTAATTGCAATATGCTGATGAAGGTTAATTGCTTTTTCAGAAGCACAAAGGTCAAGTTAGTATCTAACTTCCATTCAGTTCTTAACTGTCCTGTATGCCACCAAAAATATCCCTCCAGGTCTGTTGGCAAGCTTTTTATGGGGGGAAGGTTCATTTCTGTATGTGGCTCTTTTATCAGTGGACATCAAATTCAGAAATTATATGTCCCTTTCCCAGTCTGCTCACCAATCCCATATAGCGTTTCGAAAACTGGCTGCATTAGAATGCAAAAGCAAACTGCAGCTTGTAGCCTTATGAGTCTGCCCTCTTGGATTTCACAAAAGTTCTCTTAATGTTCAACATTACAATTGAAAAAAAACTTTGGGATTATCTAGTCCATCTTTCTGCCAGTAAAGGATCATTCCCCACTTACACATTCCTTTATCATTAAGCATGCCTTGGATGGAAGATCAGGAGAATCAGTTTGTGTTGCCAGCTGACCACTCAGTTTTCCTGCAACAGTTATAAATATGCATTTGTTTTTGTGTGGAACAGTAATCACCTCAAACTGTACACTTGCATATTTGCACTAGATTCAAATGTTCTGTATGTCATAATTCTGTGCATGCCTGCCTGTATAGACACAGGTATGCCCTTGTCTTTGTTTGTAGCTTGGGTCATCTCTAGCACTCTCCTTTCCCTTTGCTGTCGCTCTTGCCTTTGTCCTGCAGGCTCTGTGGACTCAGAACAATTCTGCAGTGGTCTACCCATGTCATGCTATTATAGTAACCATGCAGATTGGTACAGGGGAGCAAAGGTTCTTCATTGGACATACAGACAAGGTGAGACTGGAATAATTGTAAGATGAATATGGCAGCTCTACTGAGACTGGCTACCATTGCAAGTATCTAATGTGTGAAAAAAGCATCCAGCTTCTCCAGTCCCAAGTACATGTCACTGTAGAGCAGAGCATCAGTTTGTTTCTTTGGGGGAATCACAACAACTTCAATTTCTAGCTGTCCCAAGGAGAGTTGTTCTAAGAGCAATGGTGGATCAATGGCACTGGTAGTTAGAGCTAGTTCAGTCCTGGCTTCTTACAGAAGCTGGAGATGGTTTTCTTCAGTATGGTGTTTTCCACAGGTATCGGCATTAGCATTCAATGGAAACAGCACAATGCTGGCTTCTGCACAGATAGGGCACTTGACCATGGTGCGACTCTGGGACTTTCACAAGGGAAAATGCCTCTCCATGTTTAAAACCCATGTGAACTCAGTCTCATCCCTCAGGTACGTTCTAGGCATTTTGCTGAGCACTGTATTGTGGAGGAGTTAAAAATCAGCTTGTTCCTGTTTTTTTCTTTGAAATCCTGGATACAGAATTTCACAGTTTCCTCTTTCAGCTTTTCTCACGGCGGATCTATTCTCTGCGGCATTGGGAAGGATGGGCATGGCAAAACGGTGAGTAGTATCTTGGGTTACTTTAGTTGCACTTATCTGACCCCATTGTGACTTTGAGGAAACCCAGGTGAAACCAAAATATTAATTATTATCTTTGAATGTGCAGCTACCCTGCAGGGTAAACCAGTGATAGATGCCTTCAAAGATTCAGTGTCAGCTTACAGTTTCCTTAAACAGCTTATGGAAACACTTTCCACAGTGGATATAGAAATCCTTTTATTACAAGCTGGTTAAAGTATTTTCTATCTTTCTTGATATTTTCATCTATAAATTCACATTCCTGAATCACAGCCTGTACTAAATAAGTTTTTTTTATCAGGTTAATAAGGGCTTTCTGCTAGTGTGCATGTTTGATTGTGCTAAACTGTGAGTACTCCCTGATATATACCCTTTATTCAGGGAGCTGGCAAGCATCATAGCTCAGCCCCTGGCATGGATCTTTGAGAGCTCTTGGTACTCTGGTGAAGTGCCCGAAGATTGGAAGAGGGCCAATGTCGTGCCTATCTTCAAGAAAGGGAGGAAAGTAGATCTGGCAAGCTACAGGCCCATCAGCCTGACCTCTATCCTGGGGAAGGTCTTGGAAAAGATTATCAAAGAGGCCATCCTTAACAGGCTAGCTGAAGGCAATATCCTGAGGGATACCCAGCATGGGTTTGTTGCGGGTAGGTCTTGGTTGACCAATCTCATTTCCTTTTATGACCAGGTGACTTATCACCTGGACAAGGGGGAAGAGATTGATGTCATATATCTTGACTTTAAAAAAGCCTTCGATCTGGTATCCCATGATCACCTCTTGGCAAAACTGGCTAGCTGCGGCCTCCACCCCACCACAATCTGCTGGCTGGGGAATTGGCTCCGCGGTAGGACCCAGAGGATGGTGGTCTACAGGAGCCAATCGTCTTGGTGCGTGGTCACCAGTGGGGTCCCTCAAGGCTCTGTTCTAGGGCCTATACTATTTTAACAACTTCATCAGTGATGTGGACATTGGTGGCAGAAAAATACTGGCCAAGTTTGCTGACGACACCAAACTCTGGGGTAAAGCATCCACACCTGAGGACAGGAGGGTGATCCAGGCAGATCTTGACAGGCTCAGGAAATGGGTGGATGAGAACCTGATGGTGTTCAACACCGAAAAATGCATCTTTCTCCACCTTCGGAGGAAAAACCTGCAGCATGCTTATAGGCTCAGCAGTGCTACGCTGGTTAGCACTACAGATGAAAGGGACTTGGGGGTCATGATTGACCACAAGATGAACATGAGCCTTCAATGTGATGCTGCAGCTAGTAAAGCGAGCAAAACGCTGGCTTGCATCCATAGATGCTTCTCAGGCAAATCCCAGGACGTCATTCTCCCATTGTACTCGGCCTTGGTGAGGCCGCAGCTGGAGTAGTGCGTCCAGTTTTGGGCTCTCCCACCCAAAAAGGATGTGGAGAAGCTTGAGAGAGTGCAGAGGAGAGCCACGTGCATGATCAGAGGTCAGGAAAACAGACCTTATGATGAGAGGCTAAGCGCCATGGGACTCTTCAGCCTGGAAAAGTGCAGGCTCAGGGGTGATCTGGTGGCCACCTATAAGTTTATTAGGGGTGCTCATTGGGATCTGGGGAAACGTCTGTTCACCAGAGCGCCCCAAGGGATGACAAGATCGAACAGTCACAAACTCCGCCACAACCAATTCAGGCTGGACATAAGGAAGAACTTCTTTACTGTCCAAGCCCCCAAAGTTTGGAATAGACTGCTGCCGGAGGCAGTTCAAGCATCCACTCTGAACGCCTTCAAGACACATTTGGATGTTTATCTTGCTGGGATCCTATGATCCCTGCTGATTTCCTGCCCCTGGGGCAGGGGCTGGACTCAATCCTCTGGGGTCCCCTCCAGCCCAAATGTCTATGAAATCTATTAACTTCACAGTTAAAGGGAGAAGCAGTATTTATTTAGAAATATCATTTACTGGATTAACTGTATAGTTGGAAGACATGTTTGACAAGCTTGTGCCCAAAAGGCAACATGTTTGGTTCCATAAAAGATATTACTGAACACATCCTGCTTCTCACATATCTCCTGGACCATCACGGCTACAGCAATGGCACTTCACAGTTACAACATATTGCAGCTTGTGTGATTCCCTTGAAGTCCTGTGTGATTCCACTTAGGTCTTGTAGGACTTGCTGTAAACCTTCTGAAGGGGTTGAGTATGTTCCTTTCTTCTTTGACCCCACATGTTTGAGAGCCACTTACACTGGTATAAGCTGTCTGTCGTGCAAGTAGTATTCCTCTTTCTGTTGCCAGGTGCCTTGCAATTGCACTTAATTTATAGTCATACCACTCTACTGTTAGGAGCATCTGATAAGCAAAATAGCAAAGTTCAGAGTGTTCCAACAGTAAATTAAGTGTGGCTGCAGTTCCCAGAGGGAATGGGAGATTCAAAGCAGATGCCCAAAGTGTCCCTTACCTGGACTCTCAGCAAAAGAAGCCTGGTATTAAGTAGCTTCCAGTCATGTGAATTAGTGGTAATTATAAGCATCATAAACTAGAATATGCTCTAAAGCAGCGAAACTGCACTGCAGTTAATGTTGGAGTGTTATGAAGTGTATCCCAAAGGCAACAAAGGCAGATTTTGACTACTCTTCATGCTGAGGATTTTTTCTTGTGCTACTAGAGCAACTTTTATCCAAATAAATGTCTATCACTGACTAATAACACTTTGCACAGTAATTGTGCTAATTGGGTACTTCACATAGTAAAAACAGAACAGTTGCTGAATTTTATCTGCTTTTTCATGGAACAAAAACGCACATGTTGCACAGGGAGTGGGAACCTTGAGCAGCCAAAACTGCAGGGGGAATATAAATGTAATTACCTGGATGCAAGGTGTAACAGTGAAAAATGGCATGGGAACAGCAGTGCCTACAAATGCTCAGGCCCTCCCTTGGTTTAATATCTCCTCTGAAACATGGTATGTCCACAACCTAGTCTCCCCAGGCTGTATTGGGTCATTCTCTCAATACTGGCTTATAAGGAAGAGTGTTGACTCACTTGCACCTCTTCTACCACATCCTTTGTGTTTACATTGAAGCTGACATTTCCATAAACTGGGTCCTGGCTATCCCTGATCAGTCTGAGACCTGCTTAGGTGTTTATGATGCCACGGCGATGAGCAGGGATCCAGGTTTTCCATTTCCTGCGGAAAAATGCAGATTTTCCCTTTTAAAGGAGAAAATTGCAGATTTTCCCCTTTGAAGGCAAAAGCCCTGTATTTTCTCCTTGAAGCTGGAAACCGTGGGTTTTCCCTTGCAGGCTGGCAGCGTTCCAGCCTTCAAGAAACTCCTTGGGGCTCAGGGGAGTGAGGGGAGGGCGATTAGAGTCAGGGGGCACCACTTGCATGTGTGCACATGTGGCTAACAATGCAGCCAGGCAGGGTGGTGGGAGCAGCCCCAGTAGCTGGATGCAGGTAAGTCTATGGGACAGGGCGTTTGGAGGGCCAAGGCTTCGGGACTGTCTGGAGGGGATGTATATGGGTGTGCGTGCCTGTGCTTGTTGGTGCTGGGAGAGGGAGTCTGGGTGCCAGGGTTTGGTGGGGCAGAGCTTGGCTTTGTTCCAGTGAGCCCAGCTTGGCTTTGTTGCCAGTGGAGCACACCCAGAGGCACCTGCCCCTCCAGTGGGGGAAGGAGATGGCAAGGTCCTTTGGGGGCAATGGGGAGCTGTGTGGCCAGAAGCACAGGCTGAGGCTGGGGCTGGGGCTGCAGTATGGCAAGGAGGACTGGAAGTGCAACTCTGGTCTAGGCCATGCTGGGGGCAGCTGGAGGAGAGCAAGGGGCTCCAGGTGGTCTCAAGCCTGTGGTTGCTGTGGCAGTGGCTCCTGCTTGTGGACAGCAGCAGAATGAGACCAGTGCTGGCATGGACTAGAGAAAGGAGGGGACCCCTGTGGTACCCCCCTGCCACAGACTGGGGCTTCCATGCTGTGCACCAGTGGTACCACCCTGCCACAGACTGGGGCTTCCATGCTGTGCCAGGCAGCTCAGCCACAGTCCCTCCCCTGGGCAGCATCTCTGGCCCCCCTGTCCCTGAGAGCACAGGCATCAGCCTCCAGTGGCCTGACCACAGAACTCCCCACTGGCCCTGAAGGACCCCCCGCCCCTTCCCCCACTGGAGTCCTGCGAGTTCGTGTGAAGCTGGCTGGGGGGGGAGGCAGCTGCAGGCTGCCCCCCCCCCCCCCCACCGGGGGGGGGGGGAGCAGGGTGCTAGGGGTCAGGAGTGAGGGGCTGTAACGTCAGGGGGGAACTGTGTTTCAGGAGTGAGGGGCACTGACAAGGCTGGGGGGCTGCAGGTTAGGAGTGAAGGGGCCACCAGCAGGGCTTATGGCTGTGGCTTCAGAGTGAGGGGCAATGGCAGGGGCAGGGCACTGGCATATCAGGGTGGCTCAGAACCACAGAGCAGCAGGGGGACAACTGCAGCTAGACCTACATCCTGGTGACCAAAGGGCGCACGGGGAACTCTGATTATCCATTTAAAAAAAAATGAAACACCACCATATATAGGTGTTTAGAATATAGGCTTCCAGATTCCTTTAAAATGTTAAATATAGCAAAACATTATGTCCAACCGATATATAGTGGTGTTTTGTTTTAATCATGGAAACATGCGAATTTTGGGGGTGTTTTTTTAAGAGAATTTTGAATGTTTTTTATTAGAGAATTTGGGATTTTTTAGCAGAGAAAACTAGGATCACTGAGAGCTACATGTGTACCTGGATAAATACAAAGGTTGTGTCTGTTATTGTCACTTTCTTTTAAATCTGACTCCATTTGGTGGAGACTTATTCAGTGGAGTAGCCAAAATTGTAATAAAGAACAGTGTTGTCAGAAATCATGTGGCTCCAGTGCATAGCTGGGCTCTGGCAGCAGGCATGAAAGGGAGTTCTGCTTCCTACTTCTACAAATCTTGGCAACCCCAGTACAGTCTCTACAACCAAGGTAGATGCTGGTTTCTGTTCTTTCCCAGCGTGCAAGTCCTGCATTCAAATTTCAGGTTTGAGCTCTGTCCTCAGATGGTCCAATAGGTTTGCAAGCTCTGACTTTCCATAAGATGAGCTTATTGTGGTGAAAATCACCAGGGTCTGTGACATTGTCTTATATCCTTTTCATGAAAGACTTTTCCTTACTTTTTTCAGCAAGCAGCTATGAGGGGAAAGGCATGAGAGTGCAGTCCCATACACGTAGATTTAGAAGCAGCATCTGGGGTACTTCAGCTGCTGTGGAAGGCTGGGAGTCTCCTCTCCTTTTTTGCTCTGAACTCTCCTCAGTGCCATGTCTCAGTAGCTCTGCTGTTCACTGCATTTTCCCTGCAGATGGTGGTGGTGTGGAACACTGCCCAGGTGAACCATGGTGGAGAGGTGGTCGTGCTGGCCAAGGCACACACTGATGTAGACATCCAGACCTTGAAAATTGCTTTCTTTGATGATACCAGGTAACGTGCAAATGGAGGAATGTAAAGACCGGATAAAACAATAGCACGGACTAAGGCAATATAGGGCAGAACTTTGTTTGCTGCTGGAGTTCCAGCACGCAGGCACAGGGCACCACTGTTAGCCACCCTCTCCTCTCAGGGTATCAGTTTGTCCATGTCAGGTGCCATGAGTGAACATGCCTTTTGAGTGGTAGAATGAGATCTGCCTAGTTCCTCACTCAGTCTTGTGTTGCAGGATGGTGTCATGTGGCAGAGACAATGTGAGGCTGTGGCGAGTGCGGAGTGGAACACTGCGGTCGTGCCCAGTGAATCTGGGGGAGTACCATTCCCTGGAGTTCACTGATCTGGCCTTCGAGGAGGGACATTCGCCTGAGCGGGAGCCAGAGGATCGGACTCTGTAAGGATTTTTTTCCCCTCAAATCCATTTGTTTCAGTTAATTCTTTAGCGACGAGGAGACTCAGGAGGGAGGTAGCTGCCTCTGTCCTGAGTAACTGGATATGCTAGTAGTGGTTTTCAATCTTTTTTTCATTTGTGGACCCCTAAAAAATTTGAAATAGAGGTGTGGTCCCCTTTGGAAATTTAGAATGGAGGTGTGGAGCCCTTTGAATTGTAAGTGTTGGTAATCACATACTTTTGATTGGTCATGGTAATCTTTCACCAGACCCCTTAGACATAGTCTGTGGACTCCCATGGGTCTGGGAACCACAGGTCTAAAACCACTGCACTAGTAGAACAAGTTTTGCATTATTCAGTAGGAGAAGGCTGCGCAGTCATGGCTTTGACTGGCTCATCCCATTCTGCAGTAGAAGCATCTGTAACATTTTGTCTGGATTCTCCCTGCAGGAACAAAGGTTCTGGAAGAGCCTCTCTCCCCCCTTCTAAGACTTCAGTGCCCCAAAGGAGCTTAAAATATTTCCTAGAATGGTACAAGAAATTCCCGCTCCCTCCATGTTTCACCAGTTAGACCCTCAGAAAATCTCACTGTGGGCTGCTGTTAGCTGTCTTTTGGCAATGGCTGGGGTGTGGTGTATTAGTATCCCCCTTGTTGAATTGCTTATGTTTCATTTTAATCATCAGACCAAGGCTGCTGCTACCAGCCTGAGAGTCCAAGAAGACAATATTACCAGATCTGGCAGTTCTCTTTCTTCTGCAGTCTAAACCCCAATGGCGTCCCTTGCTCGTATTGCGTTGTTTCTGGTAGATGGATTTGCCACAGGGGAAATCAGGTTATCTTGCTATTTTGTTGAACACCTTTAAATCATGAATTCGTCTTTTTATATTTTATATCCAGATTCCCTGTTTAGGTAAAATCCCCTTCTTTTCAATGCAAGCAGTCTGCAAGGATGATAATGTTCCCAAGTATTTCCCTCTAAAAGTTCAACAGCTATTTCTCACTAAATGCAAGTTAATATGGCTTTGATTGCCAGTTGTTGATGCAGGTTTCAGGATAAATTATTTTAAATCTCTGTAATTCTGTTTATGCCAGTTCAGTTCAGAGCTGGATAGCAGATGTGCCAAACCTGTCTGGGATTTTTCATCCACATAGAGGTTTGTGGTTCTGTCCTTTCCTCAGTCTGAGCTGCTAAAAGAGCAATTGGGCATAAGTCAGAGATTTTCGGTTGGAAACAGACATTGCCTTTTGTTGCCTCTGGGCTGCCATTAAATTTTGTGGGGGTTTCCTGCTTCCATAATTTCACTCTGGAGATGTCAGGGTTGTGTCTCTGCTATTGGGAAACCCCAACTTTTCCTGCTTCCAGAAACACATCCTGGAGATCCCAGCAGCATGTCTCAAGAAGCTGGGAAAGCCCAGGCATGCCATTGTGGTCTTGGGGTGATACCACCAGTCAGCTGATTGGCTGCCCCAGCTGAAAACTTATCCGGCCCTCCGACCACTACCCCCCATACTGCTCATCCAGGTGGGCACAAATGACACAGCCAACAACAACCCTGGGCTCAAAGGGTTGGGGGCACAGGTAGTTTTCCCTTTCTTCCGCCCAGTCAGGGGTTAGGGCCGCTGGAGGGACAGTTGTAGTGAGGAGGTCAGCTGGAGGCTCAGGAGGTGGTGCCACAGTGAGGGTTTTAGATTTTATGATCATGGAATGCTGTTCTGGGATAGAGGCTTGTTGGGAAGAGATGGCATCCACCTCACATCAAGGGGGGAGGCTAGCAGAAGGCATGATGATGAGGGATAGCTAACATGGTTTCGTTGCAGGTAGGCCATGTCTGACCAACCTTGTCTCCTATGATTAAGTAATGAATGAACACTTCGATGTGGGAGGCACGGTTGATGTCATATACTTGGATTTTAAAAAGGCCTTCAATCTGGTCTCCCATGACACTTCTGTTAACAAAACTGGGGAATTGTGGGCTGGCAGAGTCCACAGTCAGGTGGGCTAGGAACTGGCTAAGGAGTTGAACCCAGAAAGTGTTAGTGGATGTGTCTGTATCATCTTGGAGGGAGGTGGCCAGTGGTGTCCCGCAGGGTTCGGTTCTTGGCCCTGTGCTGTTGATCTTTATCAACAATTTAGATGATGGCACACTGGCCAACTTTGTGGATGATACTAAGTTATGAGGGAAAATGGTCCCACTAGGGGATAGGATGTGGATCCAAGTGGACCTGGACAAGCTGGAAAGGTGGGTGGAGTGGAACTGGATGCAGATGCAGTTCAATAAGAATTAAAGGCAGAGTGTTTCATCTGTGAAGAAGTAACCAGAAACATGAATATAGGTTAGGAGGAGATGTCCTGGCCAACGTGATGGCTGAAAAGGACCTCAGGGTTTTGGTTGATCACAGGATGGACGTGAGCTGCCAGTGCAATGCTGTAGTCAATAGAGCTAATAGCATACTGGGATGCATTACCCAATGCATCATGAGCAGGGCTAAGGAAGTGATACTTCCTCTCTACTTGGCACTGGTGAGACCCCAGCTGGAGTACTGTGTCCAGTTCTGGGTGCCACACTTCAAAAAACACGTGGAGAATCTTGAAAGGGTCCAGAGAAAGGCCACACAAATGATTAAGGTCCTGAAGGACAAACCTTATGAAGAAAGACTAAGGGATCTGGGACTGTTCAACCTGTGGAAGAGAAGACTGAGGGGGGACTTGGTGGCCATCTATAAGTATGTAAGGGGTGAATATCGGGAGCTGAGAGAAAAAAAGTTCACTAGGGCACCCCAGGGGAGGACAAGGAGCAATGACCATAAACTGTTAAAGGATGGTTTCAGGTTGGATGTAAGGAAGAACTTCTTTATGGTAAGGGTGACCAGAATCTGGAATAGACTTCCCAAGGAGGTGGTGCAGTCCCCAACCTTGGAAGTCTTTAAGAGGAGACTGAACAGACACCTTGCTGGGATCATTTGATCTTAGCAGTATTCCTGGCCAGAGCAGGGGGTTTGGATTCACTCTTTCAAGGTCCCTTCCAGCCCTTAATTTTGATGATTCTGTGATTTGGCAACATCTATTTCTAGCCTTGCTTCCCCAAGCTGTTCTTAGTCCCCTTCTGTTATAGGTTAGCAGTGCAGCCTAGTTTTTAGTCTCTAGCTGGTTTTGGAGTGAATATCCAAAACTAAAAGTTGTAAGCTTTAGCTCCTAAATCACCTAGGAGGCCAGTGGCTGAGCTGGAGATAGTCTAGGTCTTCTGCTTTACCAGTCTGGTGCTCTGTGTAGCAGGTAACACCTGTCTCCTCTTTCCTAATCCCTGTTTGAACTTCCCACATCTTCTAAATAGAAAGAAAACAGACTTGAATTTTTATACGAAGTTCTGTTGCAATCTATATGTAGGTATCTGCCTTTTAACTTGTGTTTTCCCTCTCCCAAACTCAAAAAAATTAATAAAAATATTCCTAATGATACGTTGGTTAAAGGCTAGTACAGTTTACTGCTTTTATGACATAACAAAGGAAAAAAAATCTGATCTTTTAAGTAATAATAGTAGCATCCTGATTAAAATTTTTACTGGTTTTTAGATATCCAGGCAAAAAGTCCATAATTTATTTTGGCATTTGGGCTAATTGAAGATTATTTGTGTGATGGTTGACATGCTTACAGGTTTTTGAGGCCCAGTAATCTTTGTCTTTTCCTTTGTTTATGGAATTTGAACTAAGTTCTTCTGTAGTCACTGTTTCAGGGGGTTAGGAAAAAAGAATGGAAAGGTGTGACTCCATCTGCTGGTCATACGTTTCAAAGTTAGGTATGTATTGTGGAAAGTCAGACACTCGAAGTCCTGTCGTTGAGCTAAGACTCTGGGGTAGGCAAACAGCATTTTTTAAAACTAATTCTGTCCTTGCACTGAAAAGGTCAACACTGAAGCAAAATGCGGATTGGGTTTCTCCTGTTAAACTGTCTTTCATTTCCCCATTATGACCAAAGGCACCTAGCTGTGTGCTCTTTACCTTTTCAGCTTTGTGTGCAGCAGAAGTGGTCACATTTTGGAAATTGACTATAAGAAAGTTAGTATCAGAAACGCCAGGCGCCTCCTGCCATCTCAGACCCAGCACTCTCACCGTCGGGAGAAGCAGACCTTCAATTCAGGTATTGTAGGTTATAGGGCATGCTGCAGTAGGAGTTTCTACCAAAAGAGGCTTCCAACCTCTCTCCCTGGCTTAGGAAGCCTTTTAGAGGGAACACAAAACAGAAGCAGACATAGGACCTACCATCTGCAAAATGGCCTGGATTGCCAGTGAGTATCTGGCCTGTGATCATCTGTGGGCTCCTTCTACACATGGAAGGAGAAGAAAGAGTGAATATGTAAAGCTAAATATAGCCTATTACTTGCATGTTCATATTAAATTAACTTAGCCTACTGGACTCAATCTAGAAGGACTAGATTGATGTACTTTTGGGTGTTATATAGTTGGTCAGCCTAGATAATTTAAAAGTCCATTGTAGCTTTAAAATCTATTAATCTAAATAAGATGGATTTTCAGGCAGGGAATAAAACTGTATAAACATCTATAGACATTAATGTGAGGAGAAAACATGATTTTTACTGGGCAATAATGGTAAATTTTTAGAAACTGTCCAAATACACGCATCTAAGTCTTTGCACATGTATTTGAGGTGTCGGCACATGCACAATTGTACGTATTTGTGTGAATTGCGTAGTCGAGTGTCTTCCTGTTTTCTCAGGCACATAAAGTTGACATATACAATGTAATACTTGCATATGCAAATCTGCTTCAAGATGTAAGCATGCACAAATGTAGGTGTGCAGATCTGGAGGGAAAATGGAGGCCTCTGGGGCTGAATTAAGAACCCAGAGTGTATGCTAATTCAAAATGGAAGAAGAAGCCTTGCTTGTAAGGTTAGTGAAATGGCTTTGTGAATTAATTAGATTAAACTCCAGCAGACAGACTGGAGATGAGTTTAAGCAATTCATGGAAAATTATGCAGTGCTGTGCCTCGTACAGATGGATTGACTTGATCAGACTAGTGATAGAAAATTTTCTTGCTCTTGAAATCAACAATAACCCACTGTGACATGGCCAGGTACTATTTTAAGAAGCATCATTGTATCTTAGGTTTTTGTAATTAAAGAATACTTAGAATAAGGACTTCAATAGCAATGTTTTAATTGGCTGATAGGAATCCTGTGTGTAGTAGTAAAAAAAGCCAAATGTACAAATGCACATTCTTATTTTGTTCTGCAAGTTATCGAGTGTTTTGAATTCCTTAATGTGATCATCTGCCAGAGCTTGCTATCTTTCAGAACTCTCATATTATTGTGTAGTGATGTAGTGTCAGCAGGA